TAGAGCTTTTCCAATAAGATTTTATAATTTACAAAATCGATAGCTTTTGATATATCAAGGAAAACAGTTATTAAGGGTACTTAATTATTAAGTGCTTCTGTTACCCTTTTTATTAAATTAAAACTAGCTAATGTTGTCGAATTTCCTTCTTGGAATCCAAATAGCTGCTTATATATGATATTATCTTTTTTTCATAAAGGACAGTAATTGTTTAGCTACGATTTTTCAAATATTTTAGTTAGCACCAGTATACGTGTAATAGGTCAATAGTTCCCCACATCAGTAGTATCCACTTTCTTAAAAAGAGGTTTTACTATTGAATATTTCAATTTTTCAGGGAGTACATCGCTTTCGATTGACATGCTAATAATGTGAGTAGATGAATGAAGTAGAAATTTTTGCTGCGCATAACTTAAGTATGTCGGTATTTATGTCATCGTACCTCGTTGTATTTTATTTTTTTATCCAAAAATAATCCGCTTTACTTTTATTTCGGATGTAGGGTATAAAAATATGCTGTTTTCGATATTATTTTTATTTGTATTTGCTAAAACTCTACTTGAATTGTTCACCAAATAATAATTATTAAATGTCTCAGAAATATAATTTATATTTTATATAATGTTGTTATTATTTTTGATTAATTCTAAGTCATATTTGGTAAATTTCCTATTTTTATATTTATTATTTTCCATGATGCTTAACATTTGTTTTTTACATTTGATAAATTCATTGAATTGCATATTTTTTGTGCCGTGTTTATACATGTGCGTAGAATTTTTGTATAGTTTCGGTATAGTTTATTTTTCTCTGATGGATTTATTTGAGTGTATGTAATTGTAGTATTGTATACGTTAATTTGCACAACTATGTATAATATCTTGGGTTAGTCTTTTTTTTATTATTATTTCGTCGTTTATAAATTTACAGCAAAACATTGGTCAGATATTTTTTTTTATGAGATAGGGGCAGACGAGCAGACGGATCACCTGATGGTAAGTGATTACCGTCGTCCATGGACACCTGCAACACCGGAGGGGCTACAAGCGCGCTGCCGGCCTTAGAGGGAAGGGAATAGGGAGGGGTTGGGCCTCAGGTACCCTCACTCACACGACGAAACACAACGCAAGCGTTGCTTCACGTCGGTTTTCTTTGAGGCCGTGGTATCATTCCGGTCGAACCGGCCCATTCATGCCGAAGCGTGGCACGTGACTCATTAAAAAAATGTCCTATAAAACAGATCTTCTTCATTTGTATCAGTTTTATTTATAACAACATTAAAAGATAAAGAATTAATAAATCCTTTAAATTTATCTTTATTTTTTTTTTCTTAGAATTATCAGAATTCGAAATATCTTTATTTATCAGAATTTATTTTCATCGTATTTTTAAATTCTGGCAACTGTTGTGATCTAATAGCCATAGCTCATCTGTTAATCCTTCAGCTTCGAAAATATTGCTTGCTTTTAAATCTAAATATGAGTTTCGTCTAGTTATATGCAACTTTAATCAAAAATTTTGTAAAATACCCATTAAAGTTTTTGTGTAGAATATAAATGTTCCAATCACCATAGATGACAATTTTTCTCGGTTTGTTACATGTTTTTTGCAAAAGTTCGACAAGTTTAGTAAAAACAAAAAAATGATATATCTCATTTTGGAGTTCTATATGTGCATGTTATTACTAAATTTACCTAAAAGTAGTAAAGATTTTTCTGCTAAAGTATGCGCTAAGAGTAATTCAGTAAAATCTATATTATTAGCAAATTGGATAAGAGTTCCTCCCTTTTTTTCATGAATTCGTGACAATGCTGATACCAATTCATAGTTGGTAAAAATCAGATTTTGCTCATGGCTCCTTTAAGAAGCGTTTCTGATAAGCAGATAATCTTTATTTTGTTTTTTAAAATTAACTGAAGTAATTTCTAACTCGTCTTTTTTCTCAAAGGCTAACCTGTAAGGCTATGAATAGAATTTATAAAACTGGGGGTAGATGCTTAGCTTGGTTATAAAAAATGGGGATAGACGCTTTACTAATATTTTTCAACCCGATGAGCCGAGCCCCCCGGGTTTAACGTCTAACATCTCGATGTCACAATTCACGTAGGTGAATAGTGACGTCTGCGCCCCCCCCCTTTTGGGGGGGTGGTCGCACGACTCCTAATGTCTAAACAACGCTGTTATGCCGTACATCAATATTGCAATCAAGGCATTGTCGCGAGCATCAAGTATCAACTATTTCATTCGCTAATAAAGCACTATTAAGATCAACAAGGATTCTTATTTACGAATTTAATCAGTTAGTTCGTGGATCAAGCCAAATACGCGATCAACCGCCGTGGACAGTTGGTTGCGTGCCCTGAAGGGGCAACGAACCTTCGCTCGGTGGTCGGGCGGGCAGCAGTAGGTGACAATATTGGGGTCTGCAAATTGAAGCCAAGCTTGGACGCAAAACGGAGTTCAATATATGACCGCAGCTTTACACATGGGCAAGATATTACTTTACCGTTTACGGTCTTTAAATTGTAGCAAAAGTAACACTTTTTATAGCTGCAATGTATCGAAGTTCACTTTTTGAAACTCTTATCATGCTCAAAGCTGAGTCATCTGCCCTAATAATTCTAGAAAGTTTACATGATTCCATTTCACTTCTTCTTGTCAGCCAAAAGACAAATTAGATGATACTAAAGTGTTTATAGAAAGTGATGTACCTCTTTTTGCATCAGGTAGTATTCAAGATCATTTGATGATTATAAATCTACTTATAATGGCCAAATGGCCAAATGATGGTCCTGATGATCTTTACAGTAATCTTTTCTGCCTTATAAAAAATGAATTCGAAAAGGCTTTTCCGTGTAAGACCGTAAAAGTTACACAGAAGTTACAGTTCTGTGACTGGGCTACAACAGGTATTTATAAAAGTAGAAACAAACTTTATGAATTATACGCTTTAAGAAAATATAACCATAATCAAAATTTCATTGATTACGTGAAGAATTATTCGAAAGTATTTAAAAGGGTGTGTTTTGCGGCAAAGTCAAATTTTATTAAAGAGAAAATAAAGAATTCCAATAATAAAGTCAAAACAACTTGGAATATAATAAACCGTGAAACCGGTAAGGAGCAAATACGTGAAGATATTCTGACACTTAACTTTAATAACACGACCATCAAATCTCATGATAAAATTGCTAATATCTTTGATGAGTATTTTTTAAACATACCTATTGAAACAACATCTGGTTTAAATTCTTCACCAACTGCCGCAAAGGCTATTTTAGAAAAATACGTGCCTAAGGTAGACAGCCAGTTTAAATTTAAATATATTAGTTTCTTAGATATTATTAAAACTTTTAATTGTCTGAAAATAAAAAACACATGTGATTTATGGGGCATATCTCTTAATATTATTAAAAGTATAGTTCATGTTATAGCCCCTTACTTGGCTGATATATTTAATCTTTGTATAGATGAAGGAATTTTTCCAAATCTTATGAAGCTAAGCAAAGTTTTACCTCTTTTTAAATCCGGAAATAGGGAAGACCATAGTAATTATAGACCTATATCAATATTACCGACGTTAAGTAAAATCTTTGAAAAAATAATTCTTGAACAGTTATTGTCTTATTTTAATTTAAATAAATTACTGCATACTAAACAATATGGTTTCACAAAAGGTCGCTCTACTGCTGATGCTGGTATAGCACTTCTTAAACATATATTCAGAGCTTGGGAGGCGTCACAGAATGCTCTTGGAGTATTTTGTGACTTATCCAAAGCATTTGATTGCGTTGAGCATCGAACACTAGTAACGAAGCTAAATTACTATGGTATCAAAGATTCCGCCCTACAACTAATATTGTCGTACCTCAGTTGCAGAACTCAAAGTATCGATATTAACGGTGTGAGATCATCTGGATCACAAGTAAAAATGGGAGTTCCCCAGGGATCTATTCTGGGTCCCTTTCTGTTTCTAACTTACATAAATGATATGCCATTTTTTGCCGAAACTTTATGCGATATAGTATTGTTTGCAGATGATACTTCTTTAATATTTAATATTGATAGATGTAAAAATAATTTTGACGATGTAAACAATGCTCTATCACAGATTATGACCTGGTTTACTGTAAATAATCTCCAGTTAAATGCTAAAAAAACGAAATGTATAAAGTTTATGTTACCTAATGTAAAAGCTGAACTTACAGAAATTAAACTTAATAATGAAAAGCTCGAGTTGGTTGATTCAACAATCTTCTTAGGTGTAACGCTGGATTCTAAATTGCAATGGCATCCTCACATTTCATTATTGGCAGGAAAACTAAGTTCAGCTGCCTTTGCAATAAAAAAAATTAGGCAACTTACAGATGTAGATACCGCTAGGACAGTATACTTTAGTTATTTCCATAGCGTTATGTCATATGGCATTCTGATGTGGGGTATGGCTGCAGATATAGAGTCTATATTTATTTTACAAAAAAGAGCAGTAAGGGCCATTTATCAATTGGGTTCAAGAACGTCACTTAGAGATAAATTCAAAGAAATTGGGATATTAACAGTGGCCTCCCAATTCATATATAATTGTATACTTTATGTTAGAAACAATATAAACAATTATATTAAACATAGTCATGTACACAATTTTAATACTAGAAACAAAGATAAACTTGTTTTGCCGTCATGCAGGCTAAAGAAGGTTCTATCGTCATTTATGGGTCAAGGTGTACACTACTATAACAAAATTCCTATGGAAATTTTAAATTTACCATTACCTAAGTTTAAAACCCATGTTAAGAATTGTCTACTCAGTAAAGGATATTATACTATTAATGAATATTTAAACGACAAAACTACTTGGAGTTAAATATGGCTCATTTTTCATATATATTAAATTGTTAATCGGTGAGCTTCTTTGGCTACAAATGTGATTGGATTGACGAAAATACTGTTTTACTCTTAATATTGTGTTATATTGTAATGGAAAGTGACTTAAAATTTTAATGAAGTCATTTTTCAATCTTGACGCTCTGTATGAAATAAAACAGGGATAAAAAAGCAGCCCTTGCCGAGTTTCTTGCCGGTTCTTCTCGGTACAAGGTCTCCCGCCGTAGATTTACGAACCGTTGGCGTAGCTCTCGACTTTCACAAGTGCTTGTAACAGCCTAGACTGAATAAATGATTTTGATTTTGATTTTTGATTTTTTGATTTTAATAAATAATACACAATACACAGACAACGAAATTTATCTTTAATAACTTTTGATAAGCCTGCGTATTCTCGATATCATTATTTCTTTAAAAACATTTAAGAACGTTAATCTAAAGCGACTTCTTCGGCTGGAACGGCTTTGTAGAATTTGTTGATATTTTCAACGATCTTATCAACAACAGCTTTAATGATGGGTGTACCGAGTTCTTTGACGACATCGTTGGAGTTATTCTCGATGATATCGTTCGCAGCACGAGCTATAATAATGAGAAAGAATAATATCAAATATTTACTATCAAATATATTCAGTTACTATCTTTTATATAAATATTAATAAACACGAAGTAGCTCAAGGTAATAATTTTTTGGTCACCCATCATTTGACCTACCCTTGTGAATGTTGCTTAACAACAACTACGCGGGCCGCGGCGCTGAACCACTGCTCCACCGAGCTACTAACCACAAATAACTTTTTTTTTTCTATGGAAAATATGAATTTAAATACTGTACCCAAAACTTCGTTGCCATTGAAGAGATTTTCAAATTTTAAACGAGATTTGTCTTTTAGTTTGTAGGTGAATCGTGATTTCTTGACGTGCCAGTGTTTCTTGCCGTCTCTGCCTGTTCTGTCGTTCATGTCATTCTCGACATCGATTTGTATTTTATCTAAAATAAAATTTATATTATAATTCCTTTCTACAAATCACAAAACAAAATTGAAGGGAAGAAAAGCCAGGCCCCAAAAAGAGATCTTGGCTTAGCAATGTGCGTCCTAATGATGGTAACTATTATAAGAAGACGGCATCATAAGAAGAAGTAGATTATAATTCTGTAGATTTTTAATTTTAAAAAGTTCTTTCAGAATAAAAGTAAAAGTAAAGCTCGTTTTACTTAGGTAGAAAGAATTCTTCAACTTTATTACAAAACTTACTTAGATCAATATGAGCTTCGCCTTCCCCTTCAATAGGAACAATCAGAAGTTGTCCATGCATTTCGTATTGGCCATGAGCATGAACTGTACAAAGCAATCTGGTGTACATCTTCGATTTGACCAAATCTCGTCTGAGAAAGAAAACTATTTTGAAAACATTTCAAAATTAAAATAAAGTCAATAAAATTGTGTATTTTTATTGAAATGATCTCGTTGGTGCAAAGGTTAGCGTGTTCGGTCTGCGATGCGAAAGTTAATCAACTTTCGCAAGGGCTGAGCAGAAAATGGGTAACCAAAAACATTTTGTTTCGAAATTCATGTTAAGTCCTCGACAGATAAGGAAAATGTAGGTATCATAAGCTTCAAAAAGTTGTAATTTTAGCATATGTATAAATAACTACTTTTCCGCCATCGGCTTCCATTCCCGTTATTGGAACATTTTATTTGTTGCTCCACTATTATTAGTCGTAGCGTGAATTTATCTGGCCTATGGTCTTTTTAATAAATGGACTGTTCAACACAAAAAAAAAATCTATTCGAATAAGCGTTCCTGAGGTTAGCGCGTTCAATCAAGCAAATTTTTCATCTTTGTTAAATAAATATAGATAGTTTTTAGGTCTTTCAGTGATTCAGATTTCTCAGTGATACAGAAACAGGTCTAGGTTCGGAATACATTAAGACTCGTCTCATTTGAACAGATTTCCACAGTTCGCCTAAATGTAAGTAGTGTTATTTTTAAAATTAAAGGCTTTTAAAGAATAATAATCTTTGATCTTGATATGATAGTGTAAGTCTTTTTTTTGGCTCCAGGGAAAATGCATCACTCACTATCCCTGTCGCCTGACGAAACTGCAGGGGGTGTGGGACTCTCTGTCGCTGGATCGGGATTATCATCCCTACTATCGTAAGTCCTATCGTTACGACAGTAAAGTATAAAGAGAAATTGGAAAGAATGAAGATATTATCATAAGGTTTACACGCGCTGACAATGAACCAACAAGACAACTCAGATAAAAAGAATTTATTTAGAATGCGGTATATGCGGTACGATATTACTTATTAAGACTGTGTATAAAATGGCTCAAGTTCTAATACGATTAAACCAACCTAAACATAATAACAATACTGACCTTGTATAAATATGAGGTTAATAAAAATACACAAGTTTTAATGAATCGAAAAGGAGGTTTCTAGTTTGCCTTGTATATATTATATTCAATTTCGTTAAAATAAGGATGATGACTGGGTAAAAAAAATGTAATTCTATTTAGTCCGTCAGTCAGATAATAGAAAAATATTAGATACGTATTTTTTTTTACTTCAATTTAACAAGAAATAGCTTGGATAACAGACATTAAAGTTGAGGAGTGGGGGCTAGCTATGTCACAGTTGAGTAGGAAACGTACTCTAACGTGACGTCATGCGAAATTTCAACTCAATGTAACGACGTAATTTTATGATTATCAAAAAAATACGTGTTTAATATTTTTTAACACTCTACCTGACGGACAAACAAACAAAAATTAGTCATCATCCCTATTACATAATAACAGCATGAGTATTCTTCTTAACGTGTGTGCTTAAACTGTATATCCACTGTGTGAATATTTGTCTTTATATTTCTTGTAAATTAGACATATCTTTATGATTATCCTCGTCTTTCCTTTTTTTATTTATAACAGTTCAACTTAGGGAACAAAACAAGTTTCATTACAATCGGTTCTGTAGTTTTAAAGATATCAACCATTCAAATTAATTGACATTATAAAAGAGAAATCAAAATAATAATCTTAAAAATTAAGAGTTCAAAATAAATGTAAGAATAACTATTCTATTCATGTTGGGCGGATATTAACATTTTTCACTACCCAAGTTTTTTTTTACTAAAAACAATGGGAAGTCAATGCTTAAGATAGCGACACATATAGCTTTCTTTAGCATTGGTTTCTGTTCTTTATAACTAATTACTATATGCCAAAATTATCTGCCTGCAACTATAGTATTTTTATATAACTGCTATAACAAAGGAAATGCGACTTACTCAATTTTCTCAGCAGTGCATCCTTTTAATCCAGTTACGACAATATTTTTCACTTTTAAGCTTAAATGCGGTGAACTGGCATCCAAATCATTTTTAAATATCATTGGATCCAACTTTTCCATATCAAATTCTGGTATTCCATTAGCGAATATTGGTATCATCTCTTGAGCGGATTTCTTTAAGCAATTTGTATCTTCTGCAGCACATTTTGATACCTTGACAGCTGTAAGATTATTAATTAATGTCTTTTGTAAGAAATAATATTTTTTTTTTTACATAGGCAGGTTCAGGGAAAGAATAGTGGCTCGGTGAAAATGGCTCAAATGTGCTGTGGCGCCGTAGCCTGCGATGTTATTGTTAAGTAACCTTCGTTAGTGTTTGTTATGGAATGAGTGTTTGTAGGGTACATTAAGTCGTTGCCAGCTGCATTTGGGGGTGTTACTACCCTGAAGTTTATTCTCTTTTTAGCTAGCACATTTCAACGATTGTTCCCACCGAGCCGCTATTCTCTCTCTGACCTTACTACTTCGTAAACAAAAAAAAAACATATATACTCCATTATACGATTATATAATATTACTTTAGAAGAGATCGATGGCGCAGTGGGAAGTTAAGTCATTTTCGTAAAACCTGGTCCTAGATGGGTGATAAAAATGTACATCTCAAGTTCCGGAAGGTACTTTAGGCCGTTGTTGGTCGTTACTGCATCTACAGTTGTTAACACCTACCAATCCACTCTAGGGCCGCATGATGGGATATAAACCATTCTTCCTATTTGATTCCATCCATAGGGATAGTCTGTGACCCAGTAGAAACTAAGCTTATTATCTAAAATTTTAATATAACAATTATATAATTCGTTTCACAACGACTAATTATTTCCTAAAGATTAAAGAAAATGACATAGTATTTAAGAAATGCGCTATTAAACTAATGGAACTTATGAAGTGTTGTACTAATGTAATAATTGACTGTTGCCTATGATATCCACGCATCAGCTTTGCGTTGGTGAAATCAATGTAAACAAAGAAACAATCAAATCATTCTTCTTTATAATATAAGTACAGACAAAATATGGTATTTATTACGTTATTATAATAAATTTTACAACGACTAATCACTATGGGAATTGTATTTTTAAATACGCACTGGGATTCGCCGTACACGTCACGAGAACTATCACAAGGAATATGGCAAAAGTATTTGCCATTATGAATAATCACCGAGAAGAGTGGTCACCGTGAGACACTAACGTAAAACTAAATTATATTCTGAACTCCTGTTTTTAAATAGCAAATGTTTTTGCGGTTTTTTATTTGTACCTGATTGACTAGTTTTAAATGGAAACTTTTTTATAGTGGATCAATGCAACGTGTTCAGTGAGCAACCTTTAGTTTCCTTTTCTTATTTTCTGTTTATTCTATGAGTGCGTACGTCAGTTGTGCGGAAGTTGTACTTTTATGATATGTATTATTTTTATTCTTTTTGGGTTTTGAAACTTTGTTTTATGAATAAAAATTATGTTGAAATGAAATCATAGAAGCAGGAATTAAGAAAATGCCTTCATTCAAGTAGAGATAGATTAATTTATCTGAGTGCTCTTTCCACCAGTGTTGTTGAATATCAGTCCTACTAGGCAGTAAGTATTAAGTGAAATTTATCCAAGATCTTTAATTGTTAATTGGAGAACAAAAAGCACAAAACCATCTTGAATAGAAAAAGAAAGATTGGTAAAACAGAACGTCTAATTATAGACTAATACATTAGCGCCATCTGTTGACAACTAATGTATGTCGGTAAAAACAGATCCTTTAAATCAATTAACATACATTTAAATCTACGTTTCTTATTTACCATACACCCGCCCCATTGAAAATACAACGTTTCAATATTCAAGAAGAACGTATCTAACCAAAAAAGAATACATAGAAATTAAATTCTCAAAATCTAGGTAATTAACTTCAAAGAAAAAATTACAATCTCAACCAAACTCAGATATGAGAAACTAAATACTCTTGGCATCATATTTTAAAAATACACAACCCTATGGAAGTCCTACGAGCATTGTAGCTTGCATTAGTAACTAATACATAGACCTTAAATTTACTTATGATAAGTTCTTATAAATAAGTACAATATAGCTTAGTTACACACTATAATAAGTACAATTGTGCAGGTAAGCAGTAAGAACAAAATTCTATATAATAAACTTAAAAGTGATCTGCTTAAATCAACACTCTTTACAAATAAAATAACACTCACATTAAATAAGTATTACAGCTCGTAATTTTATATAGTTACAATATGTTATATTATAAAATTAATTATTTTGTTCAAAAGGCAATGGAACAATTTTTGTAATAGGTCTAGAATATAAACCTGTCTTAGTTTTTACAACAGCAGCTCGAATATGATTGTCTTTACTTTTGTATAATTCTACTACACGACCCAATGGCCAAGACAACGGTGGTTGATTATCATCTTTCAATAATACAATCATGTTTAACATTAAATCTGGTTTTTCTTTATACCATTTGTATCGCATCTGCAATGTGTTTAAGTAGTCAGCTTTCCATCGCTTCCAGAAGCTTTGTCGAAGTTTACATATTTGTTGATATATATTTAATCTGTTATCAGGAAATTTTGTGAAATCTCCTTCTGGAAATGAAGTAAAGCTGCACCCAATCAAAAAGTGA